GATGAACAAAAATCTTGCGGAAAGTACCTAGGTTTTTTTTTTCAGTGATACCCCATTGTTATATACGTTTGTAATAAATAAGCTTCAATAAAACAATAATGTGGACCATGTTGAATATAAATACCAAGTTAGTTATTAATAATGAAAATATCAAATAATTTTCAAATGTGCAAATAAAGAAAAAAACATAGTGGCACCCAACATTGGGTGCCATGGTCCCATGCGCCAGTCATAGTGGTACCCATTGGCGGGTGCCATGGTCGTCAAAGGGTTAAGGAGACTTGAGAAGAAGGGAATTAGGGAACTTATTCAGGGAGTGTTATAAAAACCCATGAAACTACTTCGTAAAACTTCTATACATTTTATTTTCCTTCTGTATTTTATATACTTCGAGAGCGGTGCTTCTAACAACTCGTGAGAGCCATCTCGGCATTGGTGACTGCTTGTGTGCGTTGGTGGGGCATCCATCGAGAGTGAATGTATGAAATTGTGTTTGCACGTGAGGCGCACCACTTCGTGACCCCCGAGTTTCGCACTTGTCCATTTCACACTTCTACATACATACTGCGTTTCCGGCACACGCAAGTGTTGGACCGCGTTACATCCCTTGTTCTACCTTTTCTATGCAAAAACCTGCTCTTCAGTAGTTAAGCACTGGTTATTGATTAGTTAACATTGATTAATGATACTAATACAGTTCATGGCCTTGGTCTTCCTGATCTTCATCACATTGCTTGCAAATTTCCAGAATTAGTCACATGCAGATTAGAGCTAGATATAAGTCTGTCGACGAATTTGCATCGATATGAGTAGGGTTTAAGGCTTTCATGCATGTTCATAATAACTTTTCCTTCTCGTCGGTTGTAATGGTGAAACGAGGAATTCGTTTGAGGTACTTTTTTGGCTGATGATCCCAACCACAGTCCACAGTGTCCGAACCTGTTTCACGTTCTCTGGCGAGAAATTGGCAACAACTTTGTGTTGCCCGCTACTGAAAACCTGTACTCGTAAAAAGTTATCTTGTTTTTGCCTCGAGGACGAATACTATGCTGTATGTTTTGTGCGACTGGCAGTTGTAGTTGCTATGAGCAGGTTTTTGAACCATGTATGGAAAATTATTCGTAAATTTCAGGAGAGCAGTGATTCTGAATCCGACCCTGATCTGTTGGAGCCGCCCACAAAAAGAGTTCGTAGGTTCACGGATCGGTCTGCAAACGATAGATCAGAAGAGGAAGAGACTCGTTCACGCCTCGATTCTAAGAAAAATAAGGAAATCGTCGAGGCGACAGCCGATATGGAGAGAAAGTTTGTTTTCTGTGCATTCCTTTAATTTAAAGATACTAAGGAGAGCGTTCCTCTCGAAGCAATTTCATCAATATGAAAGACTGTTTTTTGGAATGAAGTTAAATATGTAGTTCCTCGAGCTGAAGCAGCCCAATTGGACTTCTATGGGATTTATAAATATTCATTGCACGTTATTCATGAGTAAATTATTTGTTCCACAAGGGTTCCACAAAGTCATTGTTTTATAATCATATTTATTATAATTTTTGGCCTTTGAGATTGCTGGATCAGGATGATTTCCTTGTCTTCGTTTCAAATCATCCGCCATTATGAAAAGTTTTAGGCATGAAATAGCGCTTTGTTTAATTTAGTTGTTCCATAAAGATTCCGTCACTATTTTATAAGAAGATTTGTTATAATTTTGGGCCCTTGGAATCCTTGGATCAGGGTAATTTCCTTTTTTCCATATCAAAACCCAATAATTTTGAAGGGTTTTAGACTTACTTTTTTATAGTGATGGTAACGTTTCCGTATCCTCCGGGAAGTCGCCAGCTATTGGAAGAAAATGGGATTCGGGGGTCCTCGATATCGGCTATTCTAGCGGAGAAAACTCATTGCTCGATGTCATCACGAGCGCCAATTCCAGGTGACGTTTTCGATTTTTTCAAAATTTGCTAAGCTTTTCGAGAACACCTCATGTAAAAGAGATGACATGCGAACAAAGTTCGTAGTGGTACGTGAGAAGCTTATTGTTCGGTGTTTAGTGGTGGTATTTGTTCTAAATTATCTGTTATTTTCCATAGTATATAGGCATAGGAAACTTCAGGAGTAGTTTCACTCGCTTTTTTGGAACTCATCTTCCACGCATAATCGTGTCCCAAAGAGTTTTTGTGTAATAATTCCCGCATTTGGTTTCAACTGGTGCTCTTCAATGCTTACAGAATCAGTGAAAGCAAAATCGGTCTTTCGATATTCTAAGGGGAAGCTGCCGTCTTTTCCTTTCTAATTACATTCTACTGCAATTTAATAATAGACTACACTATCGAGCACTAAGGGGTTCATGGCAGTGCCAGACATAGTGACAAAATAAAGGTGTCGCCTCTATGATAGATGGGTTGTAGCATAAGTCATGTCGTTCGAAAAATTTTTACAAATATCGAAGTTTGACCGTTCCATACAATACTTAAGAGGACCGGATAAGAAGTCCGGTTGGCGAATATTGGTCAAAACGACATTTTTTGAACCATGTTTTTCTCATCGAGGGAGAAGCGTCTAGTGGTTATTTCGTTTTGTATAGTTATTAACTATTTTTGAATGTTCAGCTGTTCACTTGTCTTCTTTTTCGTAGTACTTCTTTCTGTGGAAGTGGTGGTTGTACCTAAGAAGCGGCTTGAAGTAGAGGATCCTCAGTACAGAGTCATTGAAAAATAGGTACAGAGTTAAGACGAGGAGGCAGGTGAATAAGGAGAATACAATTGAAAAATAATATTAAATACCGTACCGTGACTATCATCCACTGGATACATATTTACCCACATTTTAATAGTCATAGCACAACTGTAGGCGAAGCGTGCAGTTAAACTGAGGAGAAAAATGACTTCTGAAAACCTTTTACTGCTCTACTTAATGCTACCTGATTATTCAGGGGTTGAATTAACATTGTATCCTTGAATATGTTAGGAAAAGTCCGGCTGTCAGGAGTTGTCAATGAAGATTTCGTCTAATTGTAGTGTTGTGTCCTTGGAAGGTCGGGAAGAGCAGGAAGGTTTATTAGAAGCCATGAATGATAAATGTACAACAAAGTTACAGTTTATATACTGCTCCGGCCCGCCAGATCTCCTGGTCAAACCGAGCAGATCAGTACTATATAAGATCAACTACTCTACTAATAGAGATCACAGATGCCCCAACACCTCCCCCCTAAGATTGACGACCCTGGTACGACTTGGCGTACGGGTCAATCTGAAGGAAGTCTGGAGGGCGTCGAGTACGGGTCGAACGACGCGGTGTAACGGCAGGAGGCGCTGGTGGTGCAGCCGTCGTCGTTGTTGTCGTGAGCGGGGCTGTAGTGGCCATTGTAGACAACGATCGTGTGGATGACGTCCCTGAAGGCGAGTCTGGTGAGGAATTGAACGGCATGTCGTACGCGTTTGTCAGATCAATTGTTTCTCCCAGTGAGTCACGTGGGCGAAGTTGATTGGCGTGGCGCTTCCAGATGGATCCTTGAACCAACACGTCGTATAGCGCGCGTCCATGTCGTCGTAGAATATGTCCGGGAGACCATCTGGGTTGTCCGGAGCGGAAGTCGCGAGCGAAAACAAGGTCTTTTGGCTCGAACTTCTTCGGCTTGGCTCCATGTCGTCTGTTGAACTGCATCTCCATGACGATGTCTGGCCTAGCTTCTGGCGAATGGCTAGGCTTCAGCAAGTCCAGCGTGCTGCGAAGGCGTCGACCGATGAAGTTTTCTGCGGGAGATCGTCCATCGGGTGATGCGTTGCACGGCGTGTTTCTATAGGTGAAGAGGAATGTGTGTAGAGCGTCCACGATCGGTCCTTTGCTCTTAATCTTTCTGATTGAGCGTTTGAATGTATCGACAAAGCGTTCAGCTTGTCCATTCGACTGAGGATGAAACGGTGGCGACCGAACGTGCTTGATTCCATTGTTTCGGCAAAAATCCTGGAACTCAGCGGAAGTGAACTGAGTTCCGTTATCTGAGACGATTGTTTGAGGAAGTCCGAATTGCGCGAATAGACGTCGGAGCTCCCTTAGTGTTGCAGTAGAGGTGGTGGTAGTCATTGGCATGATTTCCGGCCATTTTGAGAAAGCGTCGACGACTACTAGGTAAGAAATCCCCTCAATTGGGCCAGCGAAATCAATGTGAATACGGCTCCAAGGCGCATCCGGGCGAGACCATGAACAAAGTGTGTTCTTGACGGGTGACTTGGCGGTTTCCTGACAGGCGGCGCAGGTACGAACGAGCTTCTCCAAGTCGTCGTTGATCTTCGTCCAGAATACGTGGTTGCGTGCAAGGGCCTTCATCCGATTGATTCCTGGATGGCCTTCGTGGAGTGTTTTCATAACACTGGGCTGGAGTGCGGGCGGAATGATGATGCGGCTTCCGAAGAGTAGACATCCTTGTTGCGTTGAGAGATCGTTGCGCAGGTGGGCGTAATTGGCAACGGTTGGTGATAGTTTCTTCGGCCAGTTGTTGTGAACGACGTGGTCCAGGACTTGACGTAGGCAGTCGTCCTCAGCGGTTGCACGTGCTACATCTTCGGCAGTGACCGGTAAACGGTTGACATTGTCGCGAAAGACGGCGTTCACGTCCCTGGCGATTGTGGCTATTATGACGTCTTCCTCCGGTGGCGACTGAGCGGAAATGAGGCGAGAGAGTGCGTCGGCTTGTCCGAAGCTGGTGGTGCTCCGATACTCGATGTCAAAATCGTAGGCGCGTAGTGTGAGTCTCCAGCGTTGTAGACGGTTCGCCGAGTATGCTGGGACTCCTTTCTTTGATCCAAAAATGGCCAGAAGTGGCTTGTGATCCGTGAGAAGAGTGAAGTGTCGTCCATAGATACAGCGGTGAAACTTGCGGACGGCGTAGATGAGAGCAGGCCTTTCCTTTTCTATTTGTCCGTAGTTCTTCTCCGTGGCGCTGAGAGAGCGGCT